CCTGTCCATGAGCTCTGGGACGATGAAGGACGTTATCAGTTTCCAAATGTGCTCCGGGTTCGTCTCTGTCCGCCGTGGCTGGCGATCCGGGAACCAGTCGTTGAGCGACTGTCCATTCTGCTCTTTCCAGTGCGGCTGCCCATTGATCGGACGGTCCGGGTCTGGTTTTGGGACGACCGCATGGCGCTCGACCAGCAGGTCCAAGATGGGCAGACCTGACGTCTCGCCTTGCCATCTTGTGTAGCCCTCGTCGTCAAAGTACATATACGACGACGCAAGGGACATGCGCGATGTCTCCTCGGCGAGCTGGTCTGTCGACAAACTGGACGAGGCTCCGGCGTGGAAGCTCGTTCCCGGGCTCGCATTGCGCGATCCTTGCTTGACTGGCCCGAAGAACGTCGATGGGTTCATCAGTGGGTATGCGGCCAGCGACGGGGGAGGGGCAGAGGTCGGAAAGATGTGCGTGGAAGATGCGAAGGATGCATGTGGGCTGGTCGTCGGATCAACTGGCGACTGTGGGAGGCCAGCGCCGAGCGCACCCGCTCCTGCGAACACCTGCGGAGGTATGGCCTGTATAAGCGTCTCGAGCTGCTGCATGCGATCCTCGAGGGTCGCAGCTCGCCTGTTGCAGGAAATAGGGTTAGCACGAGGTCGTCCGAGCATTTGAGCACGAGCCAATGCAGGAGAGGCTATTAGTAGCCCATGCAGCACAGACAGAAAGCAGGGTCGTCTTGGCTCGAAATGTAACGAAGTTCTTCCTGTACCTCCCCTGCGAGGCTCGGCAGAACACCGCACTCGGGACCGCACAAGTAGCCGTACCCTTCGTACCGTGGAAACATCGGACGAGGATTCGCGTAACTGGAGTATATGCGGGGTCGTCTATTGAATGTCGCAAGGTATGCGGGCACGATGGCACATCGGTGCGGCATACACAACAAATCCCGCCGTGCCTGTGGCTGTCACATGCACTGCAGCTACAGTAATTCGCGCAACTAATAGCCAGATGTGCACCAGGCTGAGAGAACATACCCCCACTTGACACGGAGCAGTGTGAGGCGAAAGCGTATGCCATGGTGATAGAGACGGATAAACAAGAATGGCCAGCGCCGAGTCCTCCGATATCGGTGCAGCCAGGGACGCAAAGAATGACACAAATTCTTGGAGACAGTAGACAGTAGACAAGAGACTTACTTGGACTTGTGCGGATGCGTCCGCTTCCCGGGCTCCTCAAACGTGCACGCCGAGTTGGACGTGAGACACGACTGGCACGGATGGCCCTCGTCGCACTTGATCCTCCGCCGCCTATCCGCGCGCAGCAAAACCGTGCAGTCAGCAATCCGCATGCACATGCGATAATCCGCGCCGACGTGCGCTCACCGACAACGGTCGCATGCCCTGCAGCCCCGGGGGCGGAGTCATATCATCGTCAGTCCTAGTCCCATTCCCAGTCCCCGAGCGGACAGTGCGCGACACACACCTGCTGAGCTTGAACCGCCGCTCCTTCAGGATGGACGTCGTCTGCGACGACGGCTTCGTGTCCCCATTCGAGCCCGACCCTCCTGCTTGTCCCGAGGCCTGAGGGGACTCCTGGCGCTGCTGGTCGTCCGTCGCCGGACTCGACGGTTCGCGTTCCATGTCCATAGCGTGCAGACCGCGTCGTGCGTCGTGTATGAAGCCTGTACGGTGACTCGCGCGACACCCGCGAACGAGCACAGACGATGATGCAAGAAACGAGGAAGGAAGGACGGAGCTTGGAAGATTCAGGATGTGGGGACCCCTGGGGACCCAAGCCACTAGCGAGATCCCATTTAGCCCACAGAGATCGTGGGTGACTAATTCATCCCTCAGGAAGCGCAGTTACAACTGCACAATTCCCGCCCAACTTCGCGCCCCGCCCGCCCGCCGGCAAGCAGTCCGGCATTCTCTGAGACGTCCTCCGCACATGCTCCGCCCATCTCAGCTCACTCCGCGAATCCCGTCGATGAGCTACATTAATATTGCCGGCGGCCCGGTGCAACCCCCGCACCCCCGCATTATCCTCGACCGAGGACAGTCAGGCTCGATGCGAACATGGCTCACTAATCGAGTGCTTCAAGTATGAGGTCAGTGGGAGCTTCGCTATCTTCTGGCGCATGCATCGCTGTCAGAGGACCTGCAGAAGGCAGTCGGGTGCAACCGTTCTCGAGGAGAACGCTCAGGTCACAGGGACTCGCGGACCGCGTCAGATTGGACAAAATGTCAAGACTCCATGGGTCAAACCGGGACGACGGAGCGGACACGGGATCTGTTTTGAGTCCTGGGAGTCTTGCGATGAAGGATGCGCCGATGTCTTGTTCTGCATGGGTGGCAACGCAAACGCGGTGGTATACAACCCGTGGTCTCCACCACGCCTCCAGCAACGTACATGGAAAGACAGTGTCAGTACAGCAATCATACAGCATGCGCAACAACGGACAATCAGCACAACAGCATCAACGGCGGGAAGGATATGTGGGTTTGTTCGAGATCGTGGTCGACGAGTATATGATAGGGAAGAGGAGATCAAAGATCCCCGCGAGTCCAGTCTACGACACGCTTCAACTGTTCGAGGGTGATGAAGATGAGTATCGTTGTGGGCTGCAGACGCGTCCACGCGGGCACCCAGCCCTTGAACATGAACATCGGGCCCTCGTTCTTGAACGATGTGCGGAGCATGTGGATTGCTGACTTGCCCTCTGCACCAGACGCGCTCATGATGCGGCTCTGTTGACATGGTCAACCATTGCGCGCGATGCCGTGGAGTGATAACCTACCTTGATGACATCGGCAGGAGAGCAGACAGTTGTTGCGACGGTACCCTAACGTGAACGCATGAGCAACTGTATGAGCGCAACGAGGGGAGCGGACACCTACAGCAGCAAAGCTGGCAGTGGTATGAACGTAGATGTTGTCCTCGAAGTAACCAGTTTTCAAAAGTTCGTTTTTGAAGAAATCGTAACTTCAAGCAAGCGTCAATACGAGGGTCAAGATAGTTCGATCAACCGTTCAACTCACGAAGCCAGCTGACTGGCGTTCATCAGGATCGCACGGAAGACGTTCGGTCCGACGCCGCGGCCCAGAGACGACCAGCCCTCCTCCCTTACCATCTACGGCGTGCGAGCAGAATGTCAGTTGAGGTCATCCATGACGCAGGAAGCCACACAGACCCGTATAAGGCCGTCGATAGAGTTCTTGTAGTTCAACCGCTTCTCCGGAGGCTTGGCGAAATCACCCTGCATGCGGACCATAAGAATTTCTGAGAGTGCGTAAGCTTCACGTTGAGAGGCGTCCAAGCTCGCAAGCTCAACTGACCTCCGGGGTTCCCGACGAAACCGGCAATGCCGCCCGCTATATGTGCGTCTTAGAGCCGATCGCTACATACACCTGGCTTCGCCACTCACCCATGCACCCCGCAAGAGCGAGCTGCCACGCTGGAGACTTCTCGTCTACAAGAACAGTGAGCGATGGTCTGCGCGCCTGTGCAAGGACGACGTACTGGCTCCTAACAGTTTCTTGCTCTCATCGTACGCCCAAAACCGACAGATGGAGTATGTCATTTGCCGCAGCCACGTCCCCGAGATGCCATCGAACAGCCCGCGCACGCCCGCAGTGCGCACGGTCTTCCTCAACGAGTTGATCATCCCCTTATCGCCCGTCGCTTGCATGCGGACCTTGGTCAGATCGAGCGGACTAGGGGTCGCGCACGGTGAGCACCAATCCCCTGCACACAAGAGGTGCGCACTCACTGTGTGATGGATGCGGCGATCGTTGCAGCAACGCCTAGGGCACCGCAAGGAGTCATCAACAACGTGATCCAAACGGCACAACGAGCAGTACGCACCTCCTAGCCAGAACGGATACGGCTGCTTCTTCTTGGGCGCAGCGACAGCGGACGGCTGGGCAATAGTCTCCTCTACGGGCTTCGACATCGTGGATGATTTACCTGGGGTAACGTGCGTCTAGAGGCAAACGGTATCTTCTAGGCTAACCAGCGTCAGGGGGGTAGTCGTACGGTGCGTTCTATGGCGCGTTCGACGTCGCGGTCGTACGAGCGTCGGGCGAAAGGTGGGGGTCGTCGACTGAGACAACACCGCGCGTATTAAGGGTGCGGGAGGGAATTGATGCCCGATTTGCACCGAACGGTGAGAGCGGGGGGCGCACGGGGCTTGTTGAGGAGGAGGCGAGGGAAAGGGACGGAACCCCTCAAGCTGCACGCTCCAGGGAAGACAATCACCTGACGGGAAGCGGGACGGAAGCATACACCAGTAGCCCCTTTCGGCGGATGTCCGTCTGCAGATCTGACGTCTCCGGCTGCTGCGCCCGAAAAGCCTTGCGTTGAAGAGTGGCCCGATGTGTGTTGGGCTGGAGCCTGGCGGCGTACTTGCGGCATATGATGTCGTCGCAAGTGATTCGGAATTCAGATACAGGGAACATTCGGAAAGTTGTTCGGAAGGCGAGCGAGACGTCTAGTAGCGAGCTCGGAGGCAGGGCATGCAGCACTGCAGCACTGGTCGCGAGACCGACGGATGACGAGGGTGGAGTGAATGCAGAAGGTCACCTGTGCGACCAATTCCCTTGCCTCTCCCACGAGCAGTCGCGATCACGTGACTATATGCGTCGCGTCTGTGGCGGCGGGCGCGGTTGTGGACGCAGGTATGCACGAGGAGGAGTGAGGAGACATATGCGCAGAACGATGTGCTCGCTAAGATAGGGCTGCGATGCGGGCGAGTAGCGGGTAGGAGGGGGAGAGGGGCAGGACGAAGCTTGGCGTAATACCGAGGAGGAGGGGGGATAAGTTGCTCGAAGCTGACCAGGCCTCTGTTCTCGTACTTATATATGTTCGGTGGATTCCAAGACCTTCACGGTGTCGAGATTCGAGATTGACGCTCCCTGCCCTAAGTAGCATGACGTGGACGACTCATAGCAGCAAGTACTGGTATCGGAATAAGTAAACCGAACAAAAAGAATGACAGATCTCGTCGCTCTCTGTCGGGGAGTCGAACCCCGCTTTCGCGCGCACACGTAGAGCATGACAGGCGCGTGTACTAACCGATATACTAACAGAGAGTCGTTTAGAGGAATAAGGGCGTGCCCATAGGCACGTCTGGCCAACGTCCGATAGCGAGCTGGCTTTACATGTCTTCTACCCTCATCACCTTTGTTCGGACTGCAAAGACTGTTGTCGACTCTCTACATGAAATCAAGTATCCCCGGGCTCGCGAAGCAGCCAACCTCAACGGAGCTGCGGCGAGCACTAGGTCCCTCTCAGGCTCGAATGCCAGTACACCTCAAGATTCTCAACCTGTCCTTCCAGCAGCTTCACCAATCGTGTCTCCGGCGGCTGGTGCGGGAGATGTCGTTCCAGATACTCGTCATCGCGGCGATAGTCTTCGGGTGACTGGGGATCGGCCTTCGCCTCGAGTATGTCACGGTTTCGCGGCGGCATGATGCCAATCTGTAGCTCCCTCAACGGTGCAGCTCCTAGCGCTTCCCGACGCGAGAGGCACGACGTTATCGCCTCCGCAAGCACGCGCGTCTCGGTCATGCCGTATGGAAGCCAGGTACGTTTGTCGTCCGTCTCGACGTGTGCCTCAGACCGTTCACGCAAGCCGCGGATTCTGTCCCATGTTCCTTGCAGGTACCAGCTCCAATCTCGACGGGCAGCGAAGAACTTGTCCATAAGAATGCCACTGAAAGCCGGTCGTGACTCGGACTCGTCGGATACTGACTCATCATCGCCGTATGCGTCAGACTCGGATGAGGAACTTGACTCGTCCGCCGGCTCCCTACCAGGGTCCACGATCCAAGGCCACATAGCCTCGCTCGACCAGAGGAGACACAGTTCACGGAGGGATGGACATCGGCACCTGCCATCTGGCCGGGGTTGGCTGAGGATCTCCAAGATCGACGATAAGTTGTCTGCTGGATGGCCTATGTCGAGTCGATGTAGGGAAGGGAACGTATCGACGACGGTGGCCCAAGGGTTGTAAGGCGGCCTCACGTGTGCATTGAGGCGTCCCACGACACGTAGGGAGGTGACAGAGTTGGCAGACGCGAAGATATCGGCAACATCCTGGGCATAGCAGACGCCTGGCGGGGCGTAGGGATCGCCGCCGTCCTCGTCCTGCTCCCAGTAGTCCTCCTGGTAGTTCGCTATGACGCTCAGCGTCTGACGTCCGTGGACATCATAGACCTCCATCACATTAGGTTCTCGGGGGGTATCGCGGAGGCTGAGGAAGACATGGTCGGCTGTGGTGATAGCTTGGAACGACTGCATGTCGACGGGACTTGGTATCTTGAAGCGTCCGGGTATATTGAACTCAAGTGTGGTCGTAGGCGGCACTATGAGCCGTGGCAAGATGATCGCCACAGAATGCCGTTGACTCTCTATCGCGAGACGGCGTAGATGAGGCAAGGTGGCGCTCAAGCCCGGAGAACAGCGGACTTGGGGGCTGTCAGGGTAGGGCTCGTGTTCGGGGAGGCAGTTCGTGAGGCTGAGTTCTTCGAGTGATGTGCACTGCGATAGAGCGAGGAGAATCGGGTCGATTCGGCGATCATAGGCCTGGCATCCCACACACCAGCACGAAGTGAGCTCGACGCGTCGCAGCAAGGAAGAGGCCATACTGAAGTGTTCGGCTGCAACGCTAATGTTGCGGAGTGCTGGGAGAGTAGTGGGGAGTTGGACGTAGTTCGCAGACAGCCGTTTTTGGCGCTCTCGAAACCGCCAATTGTTGATCCAGGGAGTGACAGCCAAAGACTGGAGGACGGGCATGTCCGCCTCAAATAAAAAATTCAGCCCATCGATACTCTGCGCGACTGAGACGTGCAGAAGGGAGATTCTGTGCGCATGTGGGCGCAGGAGCTCGGCGAGCACAACGGGCAAGCCTATCAATGACAGTGATAGGTGGAGAGTGGCGGAGAGGTTTAGGGCGAGCCGGTAGCGACTGAGCTTCCAACCAGGCAGGGTTGTCACCTCCTGATGCGTGGCCAAGAGGTTTGCCCAGAACCGCGGGGTCTTGTGCATCACGTCGGTCCAGAAGCGGCACACGTGCAGGATTGACATGCCCCAACGGCGGTTGAAGTCGGGTCGCAGATATGAGAAAACCTCGCTCAGAAGCTCGACGGGGAGGATGTGGTTGATGGGCGCAGCAAAGTTGTATAGGGAGCGTAGACCTCGCATGCGAGTCTTGCACTCCTTAATCTTTTCGAGAGCGGATTCAGGAAGGCCCGGAAGGTCGGTCGCTTGTAACCCGGCCTCGTGCAAGTAAGGAAGAGCATCCTCTTCCATACGCAGTGCCCCTACGGTCATGGTCATGGCATGAGTTGCGAAAATCGGGCATGTTTTCGACGCGCAGGGGCTCACCGAGGTTGTAGATCGCGCGAAGGGCTGCGATACGGCCTCTGTACTGTTCAATTCTGGACAAACACCGAGCTTGAACCTGTTGCGGGCCTAGTACATTGATGTCTGCGAAGTCATCTTCCGCGACCTCAGATATCAATCTGGGGGACCCGACTGACTCTGACTTCTGTGGCATCTGTGGTGAACACAGTGTTGATACGCAGAAGCAGAGCGACCATGAGTATCGACCCACCTTGGACATTGCTTTACGTCGGCGTCGCTTGTCGAGCGATGAAGATAGAGGATGGAGGTGGGTTCCAGCCGTTGGCAGTAATAGGTAGAAAGAGGGAGTAGCGTTTGCCGCCCGGAACCGCTTCCGGTGGTTACTTACCTGTTTTCGCAGGCGCTAAAAAAAGAGGAGCAACTTAGTAAGTAGGTGTGACTCGAATGAATCACTTATGAGAGAACTATGTACGTATATGATCGACCGGACGGCCGGAGCTGCAATAGCACTGCAGCTGAGTATTCACGAGAGGACTGTCCCTGCCGCGCGTGAGTAAGTTCAAAACTTTGACTACCTGAAGAGATTTTGGCCAGCTGCTGCCGTTGAGCCGAGTACATCGTGCCACTCCCAAGTACTTGGTAGCCAGGGATATGCGCAAGTGGCAGCTGATACGCCGTGCAAATAATGAGGTCACTAATGATACAGGGTCTAGCTAGCATCAGGAGCATCTAGGGAACATCACGAATCATCAGAAATAGCGGTCAGACGTCTCAAGCGTAACCAAACGACTCGACGTGCAGAACAACGCTTGGGCCGCCGTGGAGCGCGGTGGACACGGGGACGCGAAGCGCTTTACGGCAAATACGCGCGATACCCTGCGAGCCGCATACTGTCCGAAGAAGTCAGCTACCTCTTCGGATCGCAGCAACGAGACGGCATACCTGTCACAGAAAGACGGCCGCCGGAACTCGCAGCGACCTCCTCGTGGAGTAGAGCACGAAGGTCTGGACGGCCTTGCATGACCTGCACTGCGGAAAAGTTGAGGAGCGAGGGAGGACGGCAGCGCCCGACAGCAGTACCGTCCGAGGAGTGGATCGAGTCATCTTCGCCCCACGACTTCACTTGCCGGAGTGCGTCGACATCGGAGTTGTGCGCCGTGACATAGATACGGATGGCAATCTCGACCTCGGAAGGAGCGAACTCGAGAGCCTTCGTCAGCGCCTTCGAGACCCACTCGATATGTGCTACAGATGCAAGATCCAGGATGTCAGTAGACGAACACCGCCGGGAACACATGGAAACACTAACTGGCATCACGAATTGTCCATATGAAGACGAGCTTACGGCAGATGCTCTTCTTAATCTGCACATGGCTGAGGACGCCGAGGAAGGTTGACAGCGTGAACGACACGCCGGACCCTCCGGCGATAAGTACGACCGTGTCGTCGTGGTCCAAGTTGGGCGAGAAACCGTATGGACCGTCGATGAGCACCTTGACCTTCTTCCCGTTCTCCGCGATGCCCGCAAGGCGCTTTGTGAACCCTTCGCGGACATTGATGAGGAACACGAGCTCCTTCCAGTAGGGGGCGACGTCGAGGGCGTCCGAGAACTTCTTTTCGATGTCTCCGATAGCCGGAGTCTTGACACCGGCTAGCTGGTAGTGCGAGTCGACGGATGCGATGGTGAAGGGATGCATCTCGAGCGGCATCCCGGAGACGGACGGCATAGCCAGGAAAGCGGTCTGACCCGGAGTCCAGCTGAAGTGCGGCGGGCGATGGATGTGCAGGCGAACAAAGTGCGGGGAGAGGAGCTCGACTGAGGCATCAAGTCGGTCGGACTTCGAGGTGAAGCCAAAGTAGAGGTGGTTGTAGTAGATCACGCGTGCAAAGCGGATGGCGCGGTCAAGGCCCCAGATGAGGAACGACGGCCAGATGTACGTGCCCTGGTGAAACATATTCGCGTGGAAGTAGCCTCCGAGGAGAATGATCCTGGTAAACATGCGCGTCAGGGAGAGGAGGAACAAGGTACGACAATAGTACTCACAAGACCATGATAAAATGCGTGAAGTAAAATAGCTCGTAGACCTGAGCCCGGATAGGGCGAAGGGAGACCAGAATGAGGATCGTGAAAGCCGTCAGGGCGGTAAGGCCGACGCGGACAAACCACTCTTCCCATACAGCCGGAAACTCGGCAAAGGTGCTGATCTGAGGCACTATACAGTCAGTGTTTATACATACGAATGGACACACAGATGCCTACTTTGCCACCTCCGTGCACCCACAACAAGACGAAGACGACGCGGGCGGTCATCCGGTGGATGTAGTTCAGCTGGAGTCTGCGTGAGCAGAGCATCACTTCAAGGGCCCTAGAACCCTACCTTATCGTAGCTGATGCCGGTTATGTCTATTGCCACCTAAGCTTAGACAGACTGCGCTGACGTTGGGGGTATGGTCACTCACAGGCGATGACGTTGTTTTTGGTGCCCAGCGCAGTCACCAAGGGGAATTGGCTGGCAGCGAGCACACCAGCCCTGTTCGTCCAATACTGAGGATCGAATTTCACATCTTCGGCATTGGTAGCTTAAATGATACGAGTTAGTCTATTTAACCGGTGAGTGATACAATGCTACTCACTGTTGACGAACTCCCAGGTGAAGAGCGCAACGATATACCCACAAGTGACAAAGACCTCCGCGACGTTGAGAGTGTACGACTGGCCGATCTC